CCCTGAAATGTCCCCTCATAAAAACCGTGGATTTCAAGGGAATGCTTTTGGGTTTTGCTCCCAGTTTTCCCACAGTGAAGGGAATTTTCTGCTGCAGATCCAGATCCAGGTGCTGGATTGGGTCACCAGGATCATTCATGGGTGGACCATTAACAGGTGCTCACAATGAAACCCCCAATGTGTTGAAAAAGAGGAATTTTTGGGATGTGTGATGTCCCAGGGTGCAGAAAACACAGGATTTCCAACCCACCAGTGTCTCATTTAATCATTTACTGTGGTGCCTTGATCCAGGGCAGCTCCATGTTGTTCCATGAGTTAAAGGATAACAAAATCCTTAATAATTCACAGAGGGCTGCAGGAAACTGCTGCTCCTGCCAGCAATGTGCTCGTGGCACAGCTGCAGCAGCAAAACCTGGCTCTGGACAATTTGGAAATGACTCTTTCCATTGGAATTAGGGTGAACACAAAAAATGGAATTTCCAGAGCAGCCCCTGGATCCCTGGAAGTGTCCAAGGCCAGGTTGGACAGGGCTTGGAGCAATCTGGGACAGTGGAAGTGTCCCTGCCATGGCAGGATTGAAGCAGGATAATCCTGGGGGTCCCTTCAACCCAAACCATTCTGGAATTCCACGATTCTGATCCAATTTGGATTTTTGGAGATAGGGATTATGGACAACAAAGCCCTTTCCCCACTTTATCTTCTCTAGGATTTTATCTCTGGGACACAGATGAGCTCTAAGATTTAAAACAGAGGGAGAAATTCCCAAAATGGGTGAATACAGGGTGCTGTGTGCTCTGAAAATTCCTGGGTTTTTGGCTTGGAAGGTGCTGAGTGAGCTCCTGGGCAGGAGGCAGCCTAAAGCTCCTGGTGGGAAGGACGTGGAGCTGGGAATGGTTGGTTGATCCAGAGGTGGCAGAGTCATCATGCACCGCTGGCTCCTGATTGGAATTCTTAGGGAGTTGTTAATTAATGCTGGTCTAGGCCTGAGCCTGGGAACTCGCAGGAATTAGTGATGACCAGGAGAAGGGTGGGGAAGGATGGGGTTTGAATTCCTGCTGTAATTGTTGTTGGTCTGGTTTATGCTAGGAGCAAATTCCAGAATCCCAGAAGGATTTAGGTGGGAAGGGACCCTCAGGATCATCNGGTTGGTTTGGCTGAGGCATTCCAGGAATGAGGGGCTGGATAAAGCAAATGGGAATCAAAGCTTTTCTGGGATCCCTCTGCTTCAGTTTGGGAAGAAAGAGCAATAATTCCCATTAAATTTGGGAAGGAAGGGCAGTAATTCCCATTAAATTTAGGATAAGGGGCAGTAATTCCCATTAAATTTGGGAAAAAATGGCAATAATTATCAGTAAATCTGGGAATGAGGGGCAAAAATTCTCATTTAATTTGGGAAGGAGGGGCAGTAATTCCCTTTAAATTTGGGAAGGAAGGGCAATAATTCTCATTAAATTTGGGAAAAAAATGGCAGTAATTATCAGTAAATTTGGGAATGAAGGGCAGCAATTCATTAAATTTGGGGAAAAATGGCAGTAATTATCAGTAAATTTGGGAAGGAAGGGCCATAATTCCCATTAAATTTGGGAATGAGGGGCAAAAGTTCTCATTTAATTTGGGAAGGAGGGGCAGTAATTCCCATTAAATTTAGGATAAGGGGCAGTAATTCTCATTAAATTTGGGAAGGAAGGGCAGTAATTCCCATTAAATTTGGGAAGGAGGGGCAGTAATTCCCTTTAAATTTGGAAAGGAAGGGCAATAGTTCTCATTAAATTTGGGAAAAAATGGCAGTAATTATCAGTAAATTTTGGAATGAAGGGCAGTAATTCCCATTAAATTTGGAAAAAAATGGCAGTAATTATCAGTAAGTTTGGGAATGAAGGGCAGTAATTCCCATTAAATTTGGGAAGGAAGGGCAGTAATTCCCATTAAATTTGGGAAGAAAGGGCAATAATTATCAGTAAATTTGGGAAAAAAATGGCAGTAATTATCAGTAAATTTGGGAAGGAAGGACAGTAATTCCCATTAAATTTGGGAAAACGTGGCAATAATTCCAGTACCACTGGTGCCACGAGCGCAGGGGAGGCGATGGCACAGCTTGGTGTGGGTTGGTGCTGATTATTTAAAGACTTAATTTGTAAAAATAATGAGTTTTGCTGCCTGTGACTCAATGAATTTGTTGGGAAAAGAGAAAACTTGGAGGCCTGGGATATATTTTAATCTCCTGGCTTTGGAATGAGAGCTGNCCTGGATTTCCCTGGATTTCCCTGGATTTCCCTGGATTTCCCAGGAAAGCAGCCAGTGCTGGGTGCTGGGGGCCATTTCTGAACTTTCTTGCTCTGCTGCTCCACCAGCTCTGTCCCTGATTTTTAGCACAAATCCCAAATTCTGCACTCGGATCAGGTGGAGCCTCAGCACCTCTGCATGTCCAGGTGCTGGGAATGAATTCCAGTCCTTGGGAATCAATTCTCATTTTTGGGAGTGAATCCCAGTCCTTGGGAGTGAATCCTCATCTTTGGGAATCAATTCTCATTTTTGGGAATGAATCCTCAGCCCTGGGAATCAATTCTCATCCTTGGGAATGAATTCCAGCCCCTGGGAGTGGATCCTCATCCTTGGGAATGAATTCTCATCCTTGGGAATGAATCCTCATCCTTGGAAATGAATCCTCATCCTTGGGAATGAATCCTCATCCTAGGGAATCAATTCTCATTTTTGGGAATGAATCCTCATCCTTGGAATGAATCCTCATCCTTGGGAGTGAATCCTAAATTTGGGAGTGAATCCTCATCCTTGGGAATCAATTCTCATTTTTGGGAATGAATCCTCATTTTTGGGAGTGAATCCTCATCCCTGGGAGTGAATCCCAGTCCTTGGGAATGAATCCTCATTTTTGGGAATGAATCCTCATCCCTGGGAATGAATCCTCATTTTTGGGAATGAATCCTCATTTTTGGGAGTGAATCCTCATCCCTGGGAATGAATCCTCATCCCTGGGAATCAATTCTCATTTTTGGGAATGAATCCTCATCCTTGGGAATAAATTCTCATTTTTGGGAATGAATTCTCATTTTTGGGAATGAATCCTCATCCTTGGGAATGAATTCTCATCCTTGGGAATCAATTCTCATTTTTGGGAATGAATCCTCATCTTTGGGAATGAATCCTCATCTTTGGGAATCAATTCTCATTTTTGGGA